CTTGTTTGTTTACTTTTTAGTTTTGTTTTTTTTTTTTTAATTAACCTCTACACCCATTGTGAGGCTTGGACTCATGACCCCGAGGTCAAGAGTCACATGCTCTCCCAATTGAGCCAGCCAGGTGCCCCTGTTTGTTTGTTTTAATTGGTGCCAAATTAATAAATCTGAATGAAGAGGTGTGAAAATAGGTCCTGACTGGTCAGGGATAGGAAAATTGAGTCAAAGAGGCCTATGCTTTTGGGGCACCTGGGTGGCTCAGCCAGTTAAGCGTCCAACTCTTGATTTCAGTTCAAGTCATGGTCTCATGGTTCGTGAGTTCGAGCCCCACATCTGGCTCGGCGCTGACAGCACGGAGCCCGCTTGGGATTCTCTCTCCCTACCTCTTTGCCCCTCCCTCCCTTCAACCTAAATAAACATTAAAACAAACAAACAAAAAGATTAAAAAGAGGCCTACATTTTCTTGACCACTGCAGGGTATGTATCATGGCTCAGCGACACACACACATTAGTAAGAATGTCTTTCTTGTGGGGGGACTGATAGGTGGTCCCCGTGTAAGTTGCTCTATCACACAGGGCCTGGGCCATTCCCGTGCTTCCCTGCCACGGAAAAATAAGGGGAACATGTATTCCTTACACAGCAGAAGTAGAAGCCTGAAGTGGCAACTGCCCTCAGGCTTTGTAAACATTAAAATGTCTACACATGTTCAATGTAGGCTACATGAGGTATTGAGTACTTATTTTATTATAGGCATTGTGCTAATAATCTCTTTGTAAGAAATAGCTTTATTTAATCCTTAAAATAACTCCATGAGATAGGCATTATTATTTCCATTTCACAGATCAACTTGAGAATTTATTCACATACACAGGACACTCAGGAAGGGAAGGACCCAGGATCCGCCAGGCTGACTCCGAAGCCAGCCATCTCTCTCTCTCTTTTTTAAGTTTATTTATTTTTGAGATATTCCCTCTTTCTGCAAGAGAGAGGCAGCGCATGTGCACGCATATGTGCACACAAGCAGGGGAGGGGCAGAAAGAGAGAATCCCAAGCAAGCTCCATGCTGTCAGCACAGAGTCCAGAGCCCCACGTGGGCTCAAAGTCACAAACCAAACCATGAGATCATGCATGACCTGAGCTGAAATCAACAGTTGGACGCTTAATCTACTAAGCTACCCAGGCGCCCCCAAAGCCGGCAATCTTAACCTATGAGAATTAACCCTTGTTTTTGCACTTGCTTTGCTTTATTATTTGTGATTCTTTCTCAATAGGAAACTTTTTTACAATTGCTCCCCTCCGAAGCGAGAGGTAAGGGCCGTCAACCAGTTGTGAACATGTAATATACCACAGATTCGTCAAACTCAGTAGTTCTTTTTATTACATACAACTAGATCTTACTTAAAAATCCCCAGTGTATAAAAATCTTAATTTCCAAAATAAGTGAATCATTAGGAGGTAGCCCTCGGGCAATGGATTTTCATGTGACACAAGGATATTCCACAAACTTCTTTAAAAACACGGGCTGCCTTTAATGTATATGATGTATTAACTATACAGGGGCGCCTGGGTGGCTCAGTTGGTTGAGAGTCTGACTCTTCGTTTTGGCTCAGGTCATGATCCCAGGGTTGTGGGATGGAGCCCCATATCAGTTTTGCACTGAGCATGGATCCTGCTTGAGATTCTCTCTCTCTCTACCCCCTCCCCTGCTTGTGCTCTCTCTCAAATAAAAAATAATAATAACTTATTAACTACACAAAAATCATTTCAATCAAGTTATCAAGTCTCTAATGATAATAATTTTTGGACCCCAGATTGAGATCCAGCCAATCTAACATAATTTATTTCGACTTATTCCATTTCTCTGAGAAATCATACAAAGGCATTTTAAAAATCAGTTATATATTTAATAAAACTTAATTTTATTGAAAATGATAAAATTCCATGAAATTAGGACTGGTCAAGAGTACAGGACATATGGTGGGGGTATAGACATATCTGTTTGGGGAACTCCTGTACTAAGTCAACATCCATCTCTCCCCAGAGTTTATTTTCACCATTTTCCCCTTTAATGTAAACCTGTCAAACTTTGAGTCAATGCAGACATGATGTCAATTTCCACTACCATTTCACTCTAATAGAGATATCAATGATTGAGCAATCAATAATCAGTGGTAGTGATAATTACTTAAAAACAACCGTATAATTATTTATTTTTAAAAAAAAATTTTTAACATTTATTCATTTTTTGAGAGACAGAGAGAGACAGAGCATGAGCTGGGGAGGGGCAGAGAGAGGGAGACACAGAATCCATAACAGGCTCCAGGCTCTGAGCTGTCAGCACAGAGCCTGATGCGGGACTGGAACCTGTGAACCGTGAGATCATGACCCAAGCCGAAGTCAGTCACTTAACCGACTGAGCCACCCAGGCGCCCCCGTATAATTCATTATTTAATCTTCATGTCTTCAGGCCAATCCGTGCTTTTTGACCTACTATGGTATTCATAGATGTAAGAGCAAAATTAGCCTTTAAACCTACCTGGCAGGGGTGGAAAATGAGTCCATAGTGCAGAGATAATTAAACAGAAGTGCAAAAGGAAAAGCGGCCCCTTGATAAAGTGATACAGGATGGAGGAAGAACAGCTGAAGCCAATCCATTGTGAACTGGGACAAAGATAGTTCCTTTCCAGAGTCCTTAACAGGTGCTTTCCTTCAGGAAGAGAAATCTCAACCAGGTTCTCTTTGATCTGCTTATATGGCTCAGGAAGGCGTGGGTGAGTAAAGAGCAAACAAAAGCACTGGCGAGAAGCAGCATAAAAGTTGGCTTTCTGATAAAGGGAACAGCACTATAGAAACCAAAATGTGTTTTGGTGTGATATTAAGAACGTACAAAAAACATTGCTTTCACAATTCTCGTTTAGTTTACATACTGTGTTATTTGCCTTTCCAGTCATCTGTCTGTCATATTTTCTTCACTAAGTTAAAGAAAAATGCCATTTTCCAGTTGTGGACAGACAACTGGCTGGCTGGGAAGGAGAAGCAAGGATGTGAGTGAGGAAAGGAGCCACCATAATCACGTGAGCCAATTCCTAAAATAAATGCATGTGCGTGTGTGTGTGTGTGTGTGTGTGTGTGTGTGTGTGTGTGTGTGTATAATCTCCCGTGGTTTTGTTTCTCTGGAGAACTGTGATTAATACATACACCATGGAAGTCTTTCAAATTAATTTAGACAGACATTGTTTGAAAACAGGTGCTTATATGCTTGGGGACAATAGAATGTTTTAAATTCATCCATATATTTATTCAACAATTTTCTTTTTTTAGTATCTATTATGTGTCAGGTACTGTGGTCAGTGCTGGGTAAACGGGGACAAATTCGTGTGGCTACTTTCAAGGAACTAAGTCTTTGGGGGAAATAATAAGATAAACAATTACAGCTGCCGATGGGTCCTTTTTTTGCGTTTTTTTTTTTTTTTTTTTTAAGTAAACTCTACCCCCAAGATGGGGTTCAAACTTACAACCCCAAGATCAAGAGTCCCATGTAGTACCAACTGAGCCAGCCAGGTACCTGGATGATGGGTCCTCTTCTTATTCCATGGAGAAAACCAGCAGTAGAGCAAGAATGACCTATTTCTGATTGGGTGGCCAGAGAGGGTGTCTCTGAGTGTGATGGTTAGTTTTTTGTATCAGTTTAGCTAGACTAGGCTACAGTTCCCAGCTATTCACTCAAACACCAATCTAGGTGATGTTGTGAAGGTGTTTTGTAGATGTGATTGAAGTCCATAACCAGTTGACTTTAAAGAAGGGAGAGTGTCCCAGATTATCTGGGTGGGACTGATCCAATCAGTTAAAAGGCTTTAAGAGCAGGCCTGGAGCTTCTCTGAAGATACTCCACCTACAGACAGCAGCTACACCACATGCCTGAGAGTTCCAGCCTGCCCCACAGACTTCTGACTTGCCTAGCCAGCCCCCACAATTGTGTAAGCCAATTCCTTGCAATAAACCTCTTAATTTATAACTCCTAGCAGTTCTGTTTCTCTGGTTGAACCCTGACCAATACACAGAGTATGTGACATCTGAGATTTAAACCATCATAGGAAGGCAGGGTGGAGAGCAGGGTCAGGTGGAAGCGGTCTGGGGCAGTCAGCTTGGCTTCATAGAGAATGAACGCGTGATTAGAGAAAGAGGAAGAGAAACTGAACATGAAGAAGTAGTCAGAAGAACTGAACAAGAGAAGTAGTCAGGGGCTGGATCTAGTCCAGAGGTAGGTTACAGAAAGGAGTTAGGAAGAAAAACGAAAAGAATGCAAAGTACAATAATTGGATTAGTTTTTAAAGGATGATTTTGTTGGAGGCTCAGTCGCTTAAGCGTAGGACTTCGACTCAGGTTATGATCTCCGGTTGGTGAGTTCAAGCCCTGCATCGGGCTCGGTGCTGACAGCTCAGAGCCTGGAGTCTGCTTTGGATTCTGTGTCTTTCTCTCTCTGCCCCTACTCTGCTCACACTCTGTCTTTCTCAAAAATAAAAACATTGAAAAAAATTAAAAATAAGATAAAGGATGATTCTGGCGACAGGAGAATGGCTTCAATGAGGGAGGTGGGAAGGCGGTGGGAAGGGGATGGGGGACACCCGGGGAGAGATGGCGGCTGAGATTGCATTAGGGAGGTGGAAGTCTTGCCGGTGAATTATATACGAATTATATACGGGGAGGTGAAGAAAGTCTAAGATGCCTATTGAGTTTCTAGCTTGAGCAATTTTAAGTGAATGGTGGATCTCTTTACTGAGGTGGAGAGCAAAGCATCAACTAAGGGGTATAAATCAAAAGCTCTGCCCCGGACGTTTTAGGTTTGACACGACTTTGAGGCATCCAAGTGGAGAATGCAATGAAATAACCATGTATGAAGCTCGGTAAAGAGGACAGAACTAGAGATATTAACCCGAGAAAGTCAGCAGGTAGGAGGGTACTTATGGGAATGTTGAGCTCACCCAGCAAGACCTGAGCTCACACTGAACGAAAAGGGCCCAGGCAGAGACCGAAAAGCAGACTGAAAAAGAATGATGGAGTACAATGCGGTCATCATGATGTGCGCTGGATTAGACTAAACGGCTGCTTTAAATCCGAGTCTATCCATCTCTGGACTGCGCTAAAAATAAGCCAGCGGCCACGCGAAGTCTGCTCGCACAATCCTCCTCAGGCAGCGAGTGGCGCAACCACTAGCCCCGGCAGGCCCCGCCCCCGGGCAGGCCCGCCCCTGCCCTATCCCTATCCTGCCAGGCGCTCCAATCGCTTGTAGAGACCATCGCTGGACCCAGGCGGCTGTGTCGATCTCCGCTCCAACTGGAGACAGGGTCCAAACCATGGCGGAGAAGGCTCAAAAGAGGTGAGTCGGTTGTTTGAGAAAAGTCTATTTCTAGACTCCACATGAGTGGAATCTGCTCCTGGTCGCCAACGGTAGGGACTAAGATGATGTCTTATCCCGGGCGCTCGGCCTGGATGGCTCTTAAAGCCCAGCCTTGGCGGCCGCTGAGGGAGAAAACGACGAAGCGGGCGTAAGGGAGGATTGGGAAGGGATGAGGAATCGGTGCCTGGAAGGTTTTTGTTCTTCGATCCCACCGCCACCGCGCCGCCCTCCTCCAGAACGCGCCTGCGCGGAAAGGGTCTCCGAGTGGCGTTGCGCGGCGAGAATGGCGTCGCCCGCTTCCTCAGGACCCGGAGGGACCCCCCCCCACTCCGACCCTCACCCCCTGTCCCCCAATTAGGCGCTGTTTGATGCAGCTGTTCACGGAGGGCGGCTTGTAGCAGTATTCTCTGCTGTGCGTTCCGAGACACCCACGGTAGTGCTGGCCGCACCCCAGAACCCTCTTGCCCATTGTGGGCGCAGTGTGTGTAAACCCATCGCTGTCGCTCGTCACAAGGGGGACTGCGCCTGGGCTAGAACAGTGTGAGACATTCTGCTCGGCGTGGCTAAGCTACTTTGTACATGTGTGAGGACAGCAGTGGGGGCTCCTCCCAACAGCCTTCACTGCTGCGAACAGCTTGAATGGGAGAATTGCTTAAGTTAACGATTTCGGAAAGCAGCGGCGTTGAGCACCCTCTGCTGCCTCTCTTTGAACGGGAAACCGACACACCTTGTTTCTGTTGGCAGTAAATTAAAATTTAGGGTTTTTTTCTATGGAGGCAGGTAACTATAATCTTTTTTCATAAGCTAAAGAGAACCAGGTATACTCTGAAAATTGTGTGCAGTATATAGCCATGTACAGTGGAGTGTTTTGGGGTTTTTTTTAGTGTATTTATTTATTTATTTATTTAGAGAGAGCTAGGGAAGGGCAGAGAGTGGGAGAGAGAAAATCCCAAGCAGGCTTCGAGCTGCCAGCACAGCCTATGTGGGACTTGAACTCACAAACTGTGAGATCGTGACCTGAGCAGAAATCAAGAGCGACCCGGGCTCCCCAGATGGCTTGTTATGTAAATGGGTGCTCAGCTAAGCCTTTCATCTCAGCTGCCTGAGCCCCCTCAGCCCCATCACTCGGAGGTGCAGTGGAGTCTACACAGAGATGATTGGACCACGTTTTAGTTGGTCTAGTGATGAATTTAATTGTTTTCTGCCTCATGGAGAAGTGTGCTGATGGGACCACAAACTCTGCCTGGGTCCTCTCCCTTAGACATAAAACTGGACAGAGGGACACTTGGGAATCGTTCCTATCCTCACTTGTCTAGGACTAGTTATATGTTAGATAGTGCTGTTTTCATAAAAAAAAAAAAAATCATAGAGGGAGGCTGAGGGAATGAAGCAGAAGAAATGGGAAACTGGGTCCCTTCAAAAACAAGAGGCATTTTTAATAAGATTGCATTATTTTAATACACAAACCCACTCTAAATGAAAAACATCAGAGGAATAGCATTTTTTTTTTGTTTGAAAAACCTTTCTTAACGTTTATTTTATTTTTGAGACAGAGCATGAACGGGGGAGGCGGGAAGAGAGGGGAACAGAAGTCGGAAGCAGGCTCAGGCTTCTCATCATGAACCATCAGCCCAAATTACAGGCGGGGCTCGAACTCCACGACCGATGAGAGGATCGTGACCCTGAGCTGAAGAAGTCGTGGCTGTAAAGGCTGAGCCACCCAGGCGCCCCTGGAATAGCATTTTCTTTCTTTTTTTTTTTTTTTAATTTTTTTTTTCAACGTTTATTTTTGGGACAGAAATGGAGAGCATGAGCGGAGGCTGAGGGGGCAGGGAGAGAGGGAGACACAGGGCTCGGGAAACCAGGCTCCAGACCTGAGCCATCAGCCAGAGCCAGCGTGGGAGGGGCTCAAACTCACGCGGACGAGATGCGTGACCTGGCCCAGTCGGAGGCACCATTTCTGCACTGACCCCTCTAAATAGCGACTCGTGGTGATCCATTCAGGACAACATCATTCAGCTTTCTGGGAAAATACAACATCCGGGAAGTTTCCAAAGCTTTTCAACTAACAGAAAAAAAAATGATTGGTGTTAGGATAATGATGCTTCAGGGACAAACTGCTTCAGGAAATTCTCTGGGCTTCAGTTCCTCATCTGTAGATGAAGGTCAGACCATTTTCTGCTTTCTGTTCCATTACTGAAGTTTTTTCTTGTACTTATTGAAAATTGTTTTACTGTGACTTCAACAGAGTCAGACCGTAACTTGATGTCATCGTTTAGAATTTCGACATTAACATTGCCTTAGAAAGTCAGTGTATGTCAAATGATGCAAACAGATATAGCTGTGTCTGATCTCACAAGTATTTCTTAAAAGATAGACTCAGAATTACTAGTTTTGTTTGATATATATTCTTTTACTTAAGAGCTTTAAAATGCTTTGTGGTAGGAAGGTTTGTTTACTGAAATTTGTAGAAGAAAAATTGTGTCTCCTTTTTCGTTTTCCCTATCAGTAAGGAAGTGGGTGTGATTAAGAAATATATTTTTGGGGTGCCTGGGTGGCTCAGTGGGTTGAGTGGCCGACTTGACTCAGATCACGATCTCTCTACAGTCCGTGAGTTTTGAGCCAGCATTGAGGCTTTCTGTGCTGACAGCTCGGGCCTGGAGCCTCATTTGATTCTGTGTCTCTCTCTGACCCTCCCCGTTCATGCTCTGTTTCTCTCTGTCTCAAGCAAGCGTTAAAAAAAAAAAAAAAAAAAATATATTTTGCTGTCACTTTGCACTTGTATCAGGGAATATTTAGGGGGGTTCTAGAATGTAAATGATGGAGAGACATGTTGAAAGTTGTACTCTACTTTATTTTCAGAGCTATATTTCTCTCTTTAATTATTTGAGGAGAATTTAGTGATTCATCACTTAACATATTACACCCAGTGCTCATCCCAACAAGAGCTCTCATAACACCCATCTCCGTTAGCCCTCCCCCCCCACCCTCTCACTTTAACCCTCAGTTTGTTCTCTGCTCCCCAGGAGTAATCTCTTATGGTTTGCCTCCCTCTCTATTTTTCCTTCCTTTCCACATGTTCCGTCTGTTTTTGTTTCTTAAGTTCCACATGAGTGAAATCATATATTTATCTTTCTCTGACTGACTTATTTTGTTTAGCATAATACACTCTAGTTCTATCCACATTGTTGCAAATGGCAAGATTTCATTCTTTTTGATTGCTGAGTAATAGCCCATTGTGTGTGTGTGTGTGTGTGTGTGTATACACCACATCTTTATCCATTCTCCAGTTGATGGATGTTGGTATCTTTCCATAATTTGGCTATTGTTGATAGTGCTGCTATAAACATTGGGGTACATGTGCCCCTTCAAATCAGTATTTTTGTATCCTTTGGATAAATACCTAGGAGTGCAACTGCTGGGTCATGGGGTAGTTCTATTTTTAATTTTTTGAGGAACTTCCATGTTGTTTTCCAGAGTGGTTGCACCAGTTTGCCTTCCCACCAGCAGTGCAAAAGAGTTCCTCTTTGTCCGTATCCTCACCAACATGTGTTGTTGCCTGAGCTGCTGGTTTTAGTCATTCTGACAGGTGTGAGGTGCAGGTGTAAGGTGGTATCTCGCTGTGGTTTTGATTTGTATTTCCCTGATGAGTGATGTTGAGCATCTGTTAGCCATCTGGATGTCTTACTTGGAAAAGTGTCTGTTCATGTCTTTGGCCCATTTCTTCACTGGATTATTTGTTTTTTGGGTGTTGAGTTTGGTAAGTTCTTTATAGATTTTGGATACTAACTCTTTATCTGATATGTCATTTGCATATATCTTCTCCCGTTCCTGCCGGTTGCCTTTTAGTTTTGTTGATTTATTTCCTTTGCTGTGCAGAAGCTTTTTATCTTGATGAAGTCCTAATAGTTCATTTTTGTCAGAGCTATCTTTCTGATCTAGAACTCTCATGAGCTCTGTGTTTTTACTTTCTTACTGAGTCTTTCTCCTGAATTTTCTGTGGACCCTCAACCTGAATTAATATAAAATTTAACAAAATGACTTCACTTTTTTCATTGCCTTTTCTATGTACTGATGATTTTCAAATCTTCTAACAGATATAGCAGATATATCAAATATCTAGTAATTATCACATAATCTGTCTTTTTTTTTTTCCCCCCCCTTTGGAGATCTTCCCATGAAACCCTCTATCATCTTTGCTCTCTGAGGCTGATGCATGGCTGTTGTCCTGATATTTCCCTTTGTACTAACACACTGGAGCCTCTGTTTCTAGACTCAATCTTATCTATTGGCTTACTTTTATTTAGCTTAGTACATCCTTCGGCAACTTCCCAATAAAGAGTACTTTTTTAAAGTTTTTGCAAGTCTGAAGATGTCTTTATTCTCTGTCCAAACTTGATTGCTAGTTTGGCTGGGTGGATAGCTCTGGTTTGAACATAGTTTTCACTTAGAATTCTGTAGGGATTGTCTGTGGTATTCTAAATTCTAGTATTGCTACTGAGGACTCTGATGCCATTCTGATTATTTTAACCTCACTTGGTGTTTTGGGTTTTTGTTCTGAAAACTTTAAGGATCTTTTCCATAGCATTCAGAAATTTTAAGATGATATTACTTGGCATGGGCCTTTTGCATTCACATCCTTTTAGGGTTGAGATTAATATTCTTTAGTCTGTGGGAAATTTTCTTGTATTATTCTTTAATAGTTTTTTTCCATAAATTATTTTCTCCTTTTTATTTGGATTCTTTTTGTTTTTGTTTTTGAAAAAGAGAGACAGAGTGCAAGCAGGGGAGGGACAGAGAGAGAGGGAGACACAGAATCGGAAGCAGGCTCCAGGCTCTAAACTGTCAGCACAGAGCCCACCGTGGCGCTTGAACCCATGGACTGTGAGATCATGACCTAAGCCAAAGTTGGATGCTTAACCAACTGAGCCACTCAGGTGCCCTGAGATTTATTTGGATTCTATACCTCATATGTTGGTACTCTAATTTTCTCACTTTTTCTGTCCTATTATCAATTTTATTTTATTTATTTTATTTTATTTTGCATTTTGTTCTACTTTCTGGAAGAGCTCTTTTTTTAATATTCCTAGTGATTTCACATTTTGGTTATGTTTTTAATTTTTAGGAACTCTTTCTTAGACTGTTCATTTTTCATAGACTTCTGCCTTGTTTAATGCAGTAGTCCTTTATTTCTCGTGAATTATATGTTTGGTTTTTTTTTAAGTTTACTTTTACTACCTGAATTGTCTGTGTTTCTTCAGACTATTTTTTTCCTTTGCTTTGCCTTTTTTCCTTTTTAGTTGGAGGCTTTCCTGATTTATCTAATCATCTCTGGCTCTCTGTCCATTATTAAGGATGAGAACTTAAACAACTGGAAGCTCCAGGTATACGCATTAGGCTTACCTTCTGATGTGCTTCAGGGTGGAGCAAATCAGGCAGGAAGCTGAACTTCTCATTGAAGAACTCATGTTGTCTGGTAGTTTCTTTGGAAAAGAATCCTCTTCTATTCCCTTGTTGCCTAAAATTCTGTATGAGGATAGGGAGGCACACAGGGGAAGGGGAGATGGTGGGCTCACTGTTGCTCAGCCAGTCCTCATCACCTACGTCTGGGCCTGATTTCTTGCGTGCAGTACCGCAGAGAGGGGCAAACTTTTTCTATAAAAAGGTAGTTTTACCTTGTTTTTATTGTTAGGATTATATAGTATTCCAGTAAGTTGATTACATTTTATTTCATTACTTCTCTCCTTTTATGGTTTCATTATTCTAAATAACATTGCCAATTTGTGCATATATTTTCCTCCTGTTGAATTCTTGATGGTAGAACTCCAGAAATAGATTTCCTAGGTCAAACATTGTGACTACGTTGATTCCTGATGCATATTGGTACAGTATTTTCTAAGAAGTATCCTGATAATTATCATCAAAAGTGTCCAAATGTCTCAGTTAAATTATAGATACATCATCTGATAGCCAAAATAAATGAAAAAGCAAAAACACCTCATTATCCTGAACAAACTAATACAGGAAATGGACTGGAGTGTGATTATACTGAATATTCCAACTATTTGCATTTATTTCATAACATAGCCTTTTATTTCTTACTTACATTGACTTGTGTCATGTTTCTACTAATACAGTATCAACCATCCTTCATGTAATACGGCACAGAACAGTGACAGACAGTGGCCTAGAAATGCTATAACCAATGCCTTTGTGAATCGGCATGATAGGGTTATATTTATGATAGCTGATTGTTTATTTGAAGGTTGGAAGTAATGAGAGTGTTACTAATGAATAATAATTTTATCCTGGGTTAAGAAAGATTGTTGCTGAATCAGTGAGAACAGTGATTTAAAGAACAACAACAAAAAAACTGGTCTTAAAAAGGGAAACTAGGAGTCTAAAATTCATTAAATGATACGAGTTACAAGAAAGTATTTATAGGTAGGGGAGGGCATATAAGGATCATGATTTGAGGGAGACTTTTTTTAAGGAAATAAGGATAAATTTTCAGCCTAGTTATTGAAATGAATCCAGGATCCTCTTGGCACCTGCTGTTAAGAAAATTTTATCAATCTCTTTTCTGTCTTGTTTTATTTAGTTATATATTGAATAGGTAATCATTTGTGGGCTTCAAAATGCAAACAGTTATAAAATGGGGATGTAAAGAAAAACATTTTCCATCTACCATTGTGTCCTTGCTATCCAGCTCCTCTCTCAGAAGGCAGTGAATATTATTAGTATCTTCTGTGTCCCTCCAGAGATAGTTTGGAAATACTGAAGCAAATACAAATATTCAGTAGTTACACACTAGAACAGCTATATTGGTTGCATCAGTTGTAAATGATGCTCAAAAGTTATATCAAAGAAACTGTGCTAAACACAAGTATTTTATTAGAATGGCAAGCATGTCCTATTTAAGTTCATGTTACATGTAATGAAGATTTGCATTCATCAAAGAGGACAGACTTAAAAAGTGAATGAACCCATGTCACAGTAAAACATTTGGAAAAATAAAACCTGGCAGTAACAATTTTTTTTTTTTTTATCAAAGCAATGTCAAAAAAAGGCATGAAAAACAAATAGAAAGTATCATTGACATTTTTATACTATCTACTATCAGTTAAAAATCAGTATTTTCATACATGAATATTTATAGAACTTAATACGAGTGATTACTGCACTCTACATTTCTGGTTCTTACTGGTTGAAAAACATTTGCTAAAGTTTCTGAAAACAAGTTTTTAGAAAACTTAACAAATCAGTCAAGATATTAACATTTTGGTCAAGAAAGTTTCAGCTGTTTTATATATCAGGTTTTAATAGTTTATTTAAAATGCATAATTGGGCCACCTGGTTGGCTCAGTCAGTTAAACGTCCAACTTCAGCTTGGGTCATGATCTCACCATTGGTGGGTTCGAGCCCTGCAATGGGCTCTGTGCTGACAGCTCAGAGCCTGGAGCCTGCATCAGATTCTGTGTCTCCCTCTCTCTCTGCCCCTCCCCTGCTCTCTCTCAAAAATAAACATTAAAATGCAAAATTCATGGCTTAGAAAAGTAGTTTGATAGGTTTTGTTGATCTCATAGAACTAGAACAGGTTAAGGATATTAAACATTATACTAGAAATCTTAGGGCAATAAGGCAAGAAAAATAAATAATTGGAAAAGAAGAAAAACTGTGTATTCAGAGACAGCAAAATTATTTATGTGAGAAATCCCAGAGAATCTACTTGAACTCAGTGGGTTTAGCAAAGTTTCAGGATACAAAGTCAATATACAAAATTATATTGTATTTCTGTGTACTTGCAGTGAATGACTGGAAATCAAAATTTTTGAAAAATCCAAAATAGAATTCTGAAGTCAAAATATCTAAAATGGTATTGTTGTTTTATAGAAGCGAGTGCACATTTAACCATGAATAATATCATTCCTACTAAGAAAAATACTTAGAACAAGTTACCAAATGATTGTCAATTTAATGGGGAAGTCGTTTGGTACAGTTCTTCACGTCAGCTCATGGCTCAGCTACAGCTGCATTCAGCTAGATTCAGCTGTGTCAAACAGGACATCACAGAATATCAAAAAGCATCAATAAATTATTTGGAATTTAGTAATTTTGAACAGCTTGCACTCCGGTTTATATCACTTGGTAAGCTGATTTATAATATAAATAGAGAATATTTGTAAATTTTGATTCTCTACGTTGATTTCTATATTAATATTACCTTGCCAGTTGTTATGTATTGTGAATATTCATTCTTTTTACAAAAATAGTGGTGTATTGTATACTGTCCATTTTCTGGCTTTTACTTTTTTTGACTTAAGATAGGTTGGATTACAGAGAGGGAGGGAGGCAAACCATAAGAGACCCTTAAATACTGAGAACAAACTGAGGGTTGATGGGGGTGGGGGAGACGGGAAAGTGGATGATGGGCATTTAGGAGAGCACCTGTTGGGATGAGCACTGGGTGTTGCATGGAAACCAATTTGACAATAAATTATATTTAATATAAAAATATATATAGCTTGGAAATCATCCCAAATCTTTACATAAAGGATTATTCATTCTTTTTAATGATTGTGTATTAGATTGTGGTGTACCATACTTTACTAACCTGTCCCTTTCTAATGGATATCTAGGTTGTATTCAGCCTTTTGCTGTTTGGAAACAATGCTGGTGTTAAAAGAATCCAAAATCTCTTTTCTCAAGCATTTTAATAGGGCATCATATATGATTTTAGCCTGATGGATAGTATGCCCCCTCAGAAACTTATAGTATATTAAATACCTTACCTTTTATCATTTCTTTTTTTAATCAGATTTTTTTAACTTTTTTTTCACTGAAGTGTCTAGATAGCTTCTATAGCAATATTTTTTTAATTAAAAAAAATTTTTTTTTAACGTTTATTTATTTTTGAGACAGAGACAGAGCATGAACGGGGGAGGGTCAGAGAGAGGGAGACACAGAATCCGAAACACAGCACAGAGCCCGACGCGGGGCTCTAACTCACAGACCGCAAGATCATGACCTGAGCCGAAGTCGGCCGCTTAACCGACTGAGCCACCCAGGCGCCCCTATAGCAATATTTTTTAAACTTATCCACGGTGAATGTTACCTTTTTCTTCCTACAGTGTGAAGATTGCTCCTGGAGCAGTTGTATGTGTAGAAAGTGAAATCAGGGGTGATGTAACCATAGGTAAGGAAATTGTTTATTAGTGTTTTTTTCCTCAAAAATTGATGTAATTTAATTTATTTCAATGCTTTACAATTAATTAGGTGTTATATATTTGTTTCATTGACGTCCTAATTTTATTGAGAAAATGATGTATTTCTCCCATGTTTAGTATTTCTAAAAGAAGTAAGTGTGATGGGCACTTGTTAAAGATTTTATTTTATTTTATTTTTAATTAAAAATTTATTTATTTTAACTAATCTCTACACCCAACATGGGGCTTAAGCCCACGACCCAAAGATCGAGTCACATCTCCTGACTGAGCCATCCAGGCACCCCAAGATTTTATTTTTAAGTAATCTCTACACCCAATGTGGGGCTCAAACTCAAAGCCCCAAAATCAAGAGTCACATGCTCCACTGACTGAGCCAGCCAGGCACCTGGATGGACTCTCTATTTTGAAAACTCCTCTCTGATAAAGGAATGAGGTGATGTAATAGAGTCATTAATTTATTTGAGAAACATCTATTATGTACTACAGTGTGCGCTGTGCTAGCACTAGAGACACAGCGATGAACACAGCAGACAAAGGTGTTGCCTTCATGGAGCTTATACACTACTAGGTAGTTAGTACGAGGTGGACCATGGAGTCGGACAGACCTGGGTTAGCATCCTTGCTCTTTACCTGCTGATTTACCTTGCACATATTATTATACATAACCTCACCAGCCTTCATTTTCCCCATCTGTGTAAGTGTGTGTATTAGAATTAGGTTCAGCTGCATATAGTGGTGGCTTAAACACACAAACGTTTATTCTCTTATATAAATAAGTCTAGAGGTAGGCAATTCAGGGCTGGTCAGTTGATTGTCCAGGAGCTCCAGCCCAAATGCGATAGCTAAAGCACCAAGAGTGATCTTTGATAAGAAAGGGGAGGATTTGGGGCACCTGGGTAGCTCAGTCCGTTAAGCATCTGACTTAGGCTTAGGTCATGATATCGTAGTTCATGAGTTTGAGCCCCAAGTCAGGCTCTGTGTTAACAGCTCAGAGCTTGGAGCCCGCTTCGGATTCTGTGTCTCCCTCTCCTCTCTGATCCCAGCTCATGCGCTCGCTCTCTCTCTCTCTCTCTCACAAGTAAATACTTAAAAAAAAAAAAAAAAAAAGAAGAAGAAAGGGGAGGCGTGGAAACAAAAGGGTGTACCTCCAAGTTGGATCAGCTTCCTTTACATAGTCTTCCTGAAAGTTTCACACATTCTCTCTTTGTATGTCTGATGCCTTGGACTTAGTCTCAGCCTTGGAAAGCTGGGAGATACAGTCTGAACTGGGTGCATTGCTGCCCCCAATCCAGTGGGATTCAGCTACCAGGGAAAGGGAAGAACGGATATCTAGTGGCAAGTAGCAGGTTTTTCGACATGCAAAATAGGAGTGCCCACCTTTACAGGCACTTTTTGAAGGATTAAGTAAGAGAATATTTGTGAAAGTCATTGCCTGAAACCTAACACTAGCTGACCACATTGTTACATCTTAGCAGTGTGTAGCCTTGCTGGAGGTGAGGTCCAGCACTGAAATCAAATTAACAGTTTAACATGTGGTAACTTGCTTATATGGACATGATTAAGTTCCCCTGAACTTACATTTTAGCCACTAGTTCTTTTACGTACGTTTTCACTGCATATTGTGCCTTTGTAGCTTTACGAGCTAACATGAGTCCATCCTTACTAGCAGCTGCATGTTACCAGAGTAGAGCTTTCAGTGAGTTAAGTACAATTTCAGAGAGAAAATACGCCCTGGTCCCTTATGCTAACAGTATCTTTTGTTGTTGTTGTATTATTTATTTATTTGGAGAGAGAGGTGAGAGAGAATCCCAAGCAGGCTCCATACTGTCAGCGCAGAGCCTGATGCGGGGCTCCATCTCATGAACTGTGAGATCATGACCTGAGCCGAGATCAAGAGTCAGACGCTTAACTGCCTGAGCCACCCAGGCGCTGCTAACACTATCTTTAATAGGAAAAAAAAAAATTGTGAATTTTAGTAAGTCTAAGCCTCCAACCAATTTAGACATCATGTCTTATAAAACAAGTAAAGATTGTACCAGTATTATGGAATATCATTAGGAATTTTCTAGGTTGGATTTTATTTTAGATTGACAGTATTTCAGAGTTTAGAAGGTGACACAGTTTCTTTTCAGTGCTATGTTAACTTTTTGTTAATTCTTAAAACCATTTGCAAACTTTTTATGAGGAGAAATCATGATGGCCACATGTTTATCAAAGATGTTGTTCTGCATTATTTTTAATCTGGTATTTTTAAAAAATTTTTTAATGTTTATTTATTTTTGAGAGAGAGAGACAGAGAGACACAGAATCTGAAGCAGGCTCTAGGCTCTGATCTGTCAGCACAGAGCCGTCGTGGCTTGAACTCCTGAACGGTGAAATCATGACCTGAGCTGAAGTCAGATGCTTAATCAACTAAGCCGCCCAGAAGTCCCTTTAATCTGGTATTTTTATGGTTTTCATCATGATTCGAGGAATAACCCTCTCATTAGCTCACAAGGTATTGTTTTTTTCTTTTTTCTTGTTTTTAAAGTTTAATGATTTATTTTGAGAGAGAAAGAGAGACAGGCAAAGGGAGGGAGAGAGAAAGGAAAAGAATCCCAAGCAGTCAGTGCAGAGCCTGATGCAGGGCTCAAACTCATGAACTGTGAGATCATGACCTCATCTGAAATCCAGAGTCAGGCGCTTAACCAACTGAGCCACCTAGGCACCTCACTCACAAGGTATTCTTTTTTTTTTTTTCCCAATGTTTATTTATTCTTGAGAGAGAGAGACAGAGTGTGAGCAGGGGAAGGGCAGAGAGAGAGAGGAAGACACAGAATCCGAAGCAGGCTCCAGGCTCTGAGCTGTCAGCACAGAGCCTGACGTGGGGCTCGAACTCTGGAACTGCAAGGTTCTGACCTGAGCCAAAGTCAGAAGCTTAACCAACTGAACCACCCCCAAGTATTTTTAATTAGAAGGAAAGTAAGGCTAAAATAATGTAGCTAATTACACAAACTTGCCCTTTCATTTCTACTTCTTCCTCATTTTTAACGAAGTATGGTATACCTATTATATAATAGATAGTATAGAAACCTCTGCTGGCAAAAATGTACACACAGGTGTAGGTACATGTTTGTCTGTAGGTATATTTCAGATTTGAAAAAAAAACAAAAAACAAAAAACTCCTGTTACTTTTCTCCTTTTCTCCTATGAAAAGAAAAGGTGGACCAGGGACCACAGCATAGGATTGGGACGTGGGAGTATCAGGGGTCAGCACTCAGTTTCCAGTTTCTCCTGCTGTCTTTCACTACTTTGTGCTCCTCCCCTTTCCTTACCCTTTTAATCACCAACCTTCCCTAAATGTTGAAATTATGTAAGGAATACAGTGTTTAAATCTACTTTTTTTCCAGTAGCTTACAGTACAGAGATGGCTAAAATGTAAAATGACAGTTCACAGATTTTTTAGCATAAGAAGTGGTCGTAATTTTTAACTAGTGATTTGAAATTTATCATAGAATGGATCTAAATTAATGTTTTTATGCTTATTTTTGACCCAGTGTTTTAAAACAGGAAAATTTGCTCACTTTATAGAAACATCTCAATTTTTAAAACTAAGGAAAAGATTCAGAAGTGATATAGTTATCCAGTGCTCAGTCTTTTATAATTCTTCTCTCATTTTCATTATGTATTTGTCTTATCATTTTGTTTTATTTGTTTGTTTGTGTTTATCTTTAACTGTATATATAAGAATGGAAAATTTCCAGAATCAGTATTTAGATAGCCATTTCTATCATTGTTATATTTGGAATAAGATATCCCTAATCTTCTGACTGCTATTAATTCATTTTTCTGATGTAATACATGAGATTAAAAAGCACCAGGGAGATCTGAAGTTAAATCAAATGAGAGAGTAGAGATAAGTTATGTGATTAAAACTTACTCTCCTGGGCACCTGGGTGGCTCAGTCGGTTAAGTGTTGGACTTTGTCTCAGGTCATGATCTCACAGTTCATGGGTTCCAGCCCTGCATTCAGCTCTGTGCTGAACGCTTGCTCAGAGCCTGGAGCCTGCTTCAGATTGTGTCTCCTCTCTCTTCCCCTCCTCCATTTGTGCTCTGTCTCACTCTTTCAAAAATAAATGTAAAAAATTAAAAAAAAAAAAAAAACACCTCACTCTCCCCACCATGTTTTTTTCTTTTTCCCCAATTTATGGCTTTTACTGTTTTTGTTTTTGCTTAATTTACCAGACCAAAGTCTTTTTCTGTTATATTAGGGATATAGAGATTTGAACACCTAATACGCTTTGTTTTCTCAGTCAAGTAGCAATAAACTTAAGTGTAGTTGAGTTTAATAGATTTTTCAGAATGTTATGCAGAACTTTGCATCCCCCAGTTGGTTATACTTTTACCAAATTATTCTATTCTGAAATATTTCAGAAAGAAAGTAATTTTTCCTTGTCTTTGTTTCAGTAGTGTAATAGAACTTTAAACCTGATCTGTTCTCCTAGAAAATCAGGTATTTGGTTTATCAAAGAAACTAGTCTGAAGCATTGTCCTTAAGCAGAAACCCTAGGACTTGAGGCGCTGCTGGAGCCTGACCCCTTTCCTTAGAGGCTGCCAGGAAACAGACCTTGGGAAAAATAACAGCTCTCTTGTTAATTACAATGTGGGTAAACAAGGTTTCATAGCGTCCAGCCTGTTTTTAATTAGGCTGCCTTGATTTTTGGACCACGCATTATTTCCTTAAATTTTGTTTTGAAAGCTGAAAAGCATTTCAGAAAGTTACTTCTAAGCCCCTTTTCTGTAGTCCCATTATAGGGTGAAAGTCAGTCTCCTGGTCTCAGGACAGGGCTCGGTTGGGACAAGGTACTAGGTAGGAAGGCAGACCTCCACATAGTGGGAAAACGGAGATGGAACCCCTTTGTCCCATTTATTCTTTCTCTCCATTAGAGTTTTTAATACAGATCAAAAGCTTCCCTTTACTGTGGAAGTCTTTTTTAATAAGGCAGAACAGTGACCTTGACTTGAAATTCATCAAATATAAAGCAGTTCTTACAGGTACTTAAGCTTACAGCTCAAAGGAATTGTTTTAACTTTCCAAAGAGAGCTTGTGGCTTTTTGAACTATTTATTGACATATGAAAATGTACACAAAGATAGCTTCCTGTGGCAAAGATAGGAAAAATGTCCTTTACCAAATGAGGGGAATGGAAGTTTGATGCAAGGAATGCCTTTCTGGCTGTGTTGCATCAAGCCCAGCCAACCATTTAGAAAAATAATTCATCAGCCAGTAAGGCAACATCAGCTCTAGACACATTTATCCAAACAGGGAGATAAGCCAAATAGGATTTCAGCACATTTGGTAAGCAAATATACAAACTACCCTGCCAGTTAAGAGCTCCAAAAAAGTTCACAACAGCCTTTAAAAAAAAAAAAAAAAAAAAAAAAAAAAGCAACTTTCTATAGTGACACATTTTTATTTTTAAAGCATTTTAACCTCAAGACCCTTAAACTTGGTTTGAAATCAGACCCGTTCTAGGTAAAAGTGCTTCTTACATGTAGAAGAGTGTGGAGCAGTCTGTGCCCAGACTTCAGTGTGCCGTGGCTGCCCGGGTCTTGGAATACCACTCGGATTCCTGGGCCCACTGGTGCCAATCTCCAGCACAAAACTGTGCAGAGACAAAGCCCACACTGTGCAGGTTACACACCTGAGTCAGAATGTCCCTTTAGCAAGTTCTAGAAACCAAAATTTTAGCAGTCACATATACTGAAGTACATGAATACTAACCCCTCTGCTCTCTGCCCCAAAAGACCTACAAGAGGTTTAGGGGAACTGTTCAGTTTATTATCAGCCATGACTTCTGTTGCACCACAATTCAGAGTTGATACTTGAACCTTCTAAGTTATTTCAGCCCTGAAACACAAGGACTTGTAGTTTGGCAGTGCTGCCACCAGGTGGAGGCGGTGTCTCATGTAAGCTGGTGATCCTGCATTATATCCCAGGGCCCTCGGATTTATAAACAGATATCCAGTTATCTTCTTGCTAACTTATTAATTATGATAAAAATGAAAACAACAATAATAAAAAACCTGCTTAAAATAGCTCAGGCATTAGGGGCACCTGGGTGGCTCAGTCGGTTAAGCGTCTGACTTCCGTTCAGGTCATAATCTTGGGGTTGGGAGGTTCAAGCCCTGCATTAGGCTCTGTGCTGACAGCTCAGAGCCTGGACCTGCTTTGGATTCTGTGTCTCCCTCTCTCTGCTCCTCCCCTGCTCGTGCTCTGTCTCTCCCTTTCAAAAATAGATAAACATTAAAAAAAAAAATAGCTCAGGCATTATATTTAAAAATTCTATAAGACATGGGACTTGGGTTTAGTTTCATTTTTAAAATTTGTGTTTGTATAGTTAACATATATTAGATCATTTTTGAAAGGGAAAAATGAAAATATTAATTATTTTCAAAGCTATTTCAGAGGAATTTTTAAAGAAAGACCGGTTTCAGTGACAACCTTATCATACTAGTCCATTCTCCAGTAACTTCTTACACGTCTGCTTGTCGTCAAAGCTGCAGCTTAGGGGCCAGCAGAATACCTAGTGCCTCTGGCTTATCTAGCCACGGCAGACGATCTGCTTTCTATCACAGCATGGTGATCTCTTCCCCGTCTAAGATTTTAATGCCAGTACAGAAAATACATTTATTCTTTTCTTTTACTATCTTACAGTAATATGTGAATTTTCCCCCACTGTTTAAAAGGAGTTACCACCCTAATAACCTGAGTGGAGGAGAGGAGTTTTTCTGTTTCTCAGACCAGAAGGAGTTGTTTTGCTTATTGATAGTTATTTGTTAGCTTTTAGTGTCAGATAGTGATGAACTTCCCATTTTTAACACCTATGGGCCAGACCCTGTGATCTCCCTTTCAGACATTATTTCGTATAATCCACACTTCAACACAATGAAGTAGGTTATTCTGGATCTCATCTTTTTATAGATGAGAGAACAGGCATTTGAGAGATTAAGCATATAGCCTTTAAGTGGTAGAGACCCAGAGTCTAGACTTTCTCAACAAGGAGTGGGGTGCTGGTAGGGGCTTTAATTACAAAGAATCTAAAATAGAATGATTTGTCCCTTTTATCACAGAACATTTTTTTTTTTTCAACGTTTTTTATTTATTTTTGGGACAGAGAGAGACAGAGCATGAACGGGGGAGGGGCAGAGAGAGAGGGAGACACAGAATCAGAAACAGGCTCCAGGCTCCGAGCCATCAGCCCAGAGCCTGACGCGGGGCTCGAACTCACGGACCGCGAGATCGTGACCTGGCTGAAGTCGGACGCCCAACCGACTGCGCCACCCAGGCGCCCCTATCACAGAACATTTTTAAGTAAAGTGTGAATCTGGTATTGTGCAAACTACAGATGTAAATTGGTTCACACAGCTGGAAGACCTGTAAGAAATTTCTCATTTTGGAGGAATCCAGTGTTTGTTTCAGTATTATTTAGCACCTGTCCCTCAAAAGTGGTAACATCTAAATGCCCGTCAGTAAGGGCTTGGTTAAATAAATTATGATATGTTAATATGATATGAAGTACTATTCAGCCATTAAAAAGAAGAGCTAGCTAAATGTACTTTTATGGAAAAATCACCATGACTTTTTAGGTGAATTAAGAAAATTGCACAATAATAAGTACCATTCCTTGATTAAAAAAAAAAAATCAACTATGTGCTTATAATCCATATTTTTCCACCTTCAAATTATATTCTATTTATTTTTTAACTTCATGGTAAAAGATATTTATATACAATGATATTTACGGGTCTTAAGGGTATAGTGGAACTTAAGTCTGGAATAATATACCCCAAACTTTTAAGAATAGTTACCACTAGGGAACAGGATTGGCGCAAAGAGAGGATCTTTCACTTTTGCTTTGTTTGAATTTTTATAATGAGTATGTATTACCTTTGTAAATATGTGTATTTCTTAACAGAAAAAAAGGCACATGTGTTCACAATCATGGTCAACTTGAGAATCTTCCCAAGATTCCTATCTTTTATCCTGAATAGGAGAATTTGCCAAAGCAATTTTACTTGGGCAGCTCAGGATTTGGGGAGCCAGGGGTGACAGAAATAACAAAGCCACCTCATGTTATTTCTTATCAGACTGTGCGTCTTTTGACTGTGCATCCTGTCTTGGACCCCACCCTCCTTATCAGTCCCCAGCTCTTCATTGTTAGGGGGAAAAAATAAAGTTGCACTGAGGTTCCTTCCAGTTCTCTGGGCACCAGGAACACCTTCTTATTTAATACATTCGTGTGTGAGTATGTTAAGTATTTCCAGTTTTCAAGATAACAAAACAAAATAAAGAAATGCAAGCTCAAAAGGGCAAAAGTAGCTTATATTTTTTTATTTCCCTCTAACATATAGCACTGGATCTTGCCTGTCACACGCAGCTAATGATTATTGAATAAATTAACTTACATAGTTGAGTACTGAATTACGGGGACAGTGCATCTTCCTGACTACCTTCCCACCTCCTGTCAACACTTCTACCCACGCTGTCTTCCTTTCAGAGTTGGTTACTTCATGTCCACTTATTTACCAATAAAAATAGCCATGGCATTGGGGGTGGGTGGGGCTAGTGTTGCAGGGAGTGGCAGTAATGAGGTTATATTTTCTCAGGAGTGATTTCATTATCACCAAAATGCTAGGCCTTTGGGAAATTAAGAACCAGGGGAGGGAATGTGTTAGCTGTCCAGAATCGTGTCCCTGTTTAAGCAATGCCGGCCACCTCCACCCTGGTGGTGAAATGGATGTGGTAAGACCCCTTCCCGCTCCTTTCAATTTGAGGTAGGAGGCGTCCCCTCAGTCTGCCTATTTCAGAGTCTTAGGATTCCAGTAATTATATTGGCTCCTTCCACTGCCTCCCTGTAACCTTTTCAATCTTTAACTGGTTAAAATCATGTCCTAGACCAGACACAACAGTATCTCTGCCTCCTTCCAGTGGTTAGGCTTGTTATTGGGATGGTGACAAAGTAACAAAGATAAGGTTTCCATGTTTCCCTTCTCCCATTCCACCCATGTTTCCTCTTAGCCACTTAATAGGAAGACTAACTATATAGTACACAAGCATGAGAAAGTGTTAATGTGGTTCACTAGCATGAGAAAGCCCAACATTATATGCAAAGGGAGCCTTACTTTTATGAGAGAAAGCAGGGAAGGGAATTAATATTATTGCCAACAATGTGCCAGAATACTGTGTCTACAAACATGATCTCATCTAATCCTTACAGTGCCTCTGTAAGATGGTATATTCCCCACCCCCATTTCACTGCTGAGATAACAGAGGCTTCCAAACAGCTGGTTCGCCAGCGCTGTCTGGCTCCAAAGCCTGTGCTGTCTCCACTCACCTTGCCTTGAGATTTGGCACTAACTACTATTGATAACAGCTGAGGAGATAACATTTGTAAAGTGCACCTAGTGTGGTGCCTGGCACATACTTTAGAAAATGTTCCTCCCAATAGCCTCGGCCCCCTCTTGGTCACCTTCTCCCCTCCTATTGGAAGCGTAGCCTCCACCAATAATTTCTTTTCACCGTATTTTTAACAGGACCTAGGACAGTGATCCACCCTAAAGCACGGATTATTGCGGAAGCCGGGCCAATAGTGATTGGGGAAGGTAACCTAATAGAAGAACAGGCGCTTATCATAAATGCGTGAGTAAGACATTTTCAGATACCCTGAACTAAGTACCTCGGGTTGTGTTTTTATTAATTCAGCTATCTATAGGAACCTTTTACGGTAGACATTTGGAAAGCCTACTATTTTAGAACTAGAGAAACATTAAGGATCTTTTCAACACAAGTGGTTAGTAAATAAGGAAACCAGAGACCAGATGGGTGAAGAGACTCGTCTGAGATGAGATAACTTGTTGGTGACTGACTAGAATCTCCTCCTCTCAGTCTGATAATCTTCCCCTTATGTATCACTACCTCCTCTGTGCGCTAAGCAAACATTTCCTGACTCCAGTGACCAAGTGCTGTGCTGGCCACCCTTGAAGAGAGGCTTTTGGTTAGATTTCTCACTTCTGGCTGAATTGTTATTACTCCTGCCCAGACACATGAGCTTTACTCTGATATATATTTTCATATGCTTTGTGGGGATAGCACCCAGAATTATATTTGAAAATTTGGGGGACTTAGAGGCAATTTTTTTTTTTAATTTTTTTAATGTTTATTTTTATTGTTGAGACAGAGACAGAGCATGAGTGGGGGAGGGGCAGAGAAAGAGGGAGACACAGAATCTGAAGCAGACTCCAGGCTCCGAGCTGTCAGCACAGAGCCCGACACCAGGCTCGAACCCACAGACTGTGAAATCATGACCTGAGCCGAAGCCGGATGCCCAACCGACTGAGCCACCCAGGCGCCCTGGCAATTTTTAACTTTCAAGAATAAAAAGTAATAAAATATTCAAACATGTACATGATCTTAGTGAGCTAGACTATAATACCTATGAAATTTTCATAAGCATTTAATAAAGCTTTCTAGATAAAATTTTGGCAGGAAATTCAAGCTTATACCTAATTTATGGCAACAATGTATGGAATTTGTAAGAAAGACCTTGGGAAAATATTTGACTGTGATAAAGAGATTGATTTGTCATAACACTTACTTAGGATTTGGGAGTTTCTTACTATATTAAGCAGTTTCTTTTTAAAATCTTATTTTGGCACCTTTATTGTAAGTAAGTTAGGAATAGCTATATTCTGCAGTAACTCAGCTGTCAGAGATAAAGCACCATTTAAAAAATGGCTTCCTCTTAGACCACAAACATTTTACGTTCCAAATATTTCAAACTACCTAAGAGCATACAAAATAATTACGTGAATTTCTGTTTATATTTCACAATCTCGAATGATTATTGAGAATGGAAATTTTTCGAGCCAGGCATGATTTTGATTCCAGTTTAATAAGCTAAAAATTATAGCCAGCATCATTTTTACCTTGTCCTGGAAAAGGCCCTCTGGGCTATGAGCTTTAAAAATAAGCAAAGGAGGGGCGCCTGGGTGGTGCAGTCGGTTAAGCGTCCGACTTCAGCCAGGTCACGATCTCGCGGTCCGGGAGTTCGAGCCCCGCGTCAGGCTCTGGGCTGATGGCTCAGAGCCTGGAGCCTGTTTCCGATTCTGTGTCTCCCTCTCTCTCTGCCCCTCCCCCGTTCATGCTCTGTCTCTCTCTGTCCCAAAAATAAATAAACGTTGAAAAAAAAAATTAAAAAAAAAAATAATAAAAATAAGCAAAGGAAAAATTAAAAATAAAAAAAATAAATAAAAATCAGCAAAGGAAGGCTGACCTTCTAAACTTACCTGTGACTTCTTTACCTTTTAGTAGTTCTTTTTCAACTCAGAATCAAGTCTTCAGCATAGATGATAAATAATTCACTTGGAATAAGAAATTACTTATATAGTTACATATTTTAAGCTTGATGGAGATCAAATTGACAGAATGAACCCAAATTCTAAAACAAGAGAATTGCTTATTGCATTATTGACTTTGATGATTTGTCTCTTCTTTTTATAGTCACCCTGATAATATCACCCCTGATGCTGAAGATCCAGAACCAAAACCTATGATCATTGGCACCAATAATGTGTTTGAAGTTGGCTGTTGTATCCTTTACAATAGTTTAAAGTAAAACATTCTTCCCAGCTGTTTTTAATATCCAAAATTTATTCCATAGAAATCATCATATTTTACCTGTCAAATATATCAAGTATATTATAAGTATGCATTCACACACACACTCTCACACACACACACACACACACACACACACACACACACAGCTCCTAGTGTTACAGCTTGTTCACAGGTAACAATAGGTAACAATGACTGAGTGGCAGTAGACACAGAAACAGAAGAATCCTGTCTTCTGTCCTGCTTTAAGAACCACAGCTCTGTCCATTCAATTCCTATATAGTTTAGGTTAACAGTATGTTGTCTGCTGCAAAGAAATGGTAGAAAGGGATGGAAATATTTCTTTTTTTTTTTTTTAAGTTTATTTTATTTATTTTAAGGGGGGAGGGGCAACGAGAGAGGGGAGAGAGAGGGAGGGAGGGAGGGAGGGAGAGAGAGAGAGAGAGAGAGAGAGAGAGAGAGAATCCCAAGCTAATAGCGGATCCTGATATCAGGGCTTGAGCTCACAAACCATGAGATCATGACCTGAGCTGAAATCAAGAGTCGGACACTTAACCAGCTGAGCCACCCAGGCACCCCTGGAAATATTTCATTCTTTGTTTTTTTTCCCCAGAGTGCTACTAGTTCTTTCCTTGATTTTTGTACTCTAAAAAGCTAGTAAACTCTTTTCATGTTGTCAGCAAGATATAATTTTATGACAGAAGAACTTGGAGGAAAATAAAATCTATTTAGTGATAGCAAAATATTTAAATAAATTAAGCTACAGGCACAAAATGGACTATTCGGATCATTAAGCAGTCATCTTAAATTACGGTTTTAAAGATTTTAATCGTATGGAATAATGCCTGCAAATTTAATTGAACCAAATAAAGTGAGCTGTAAAAGTTTATACAGTTTGATTCCCAGTTATGTTAAGGGAATTATATGTATTTACATAAAGATATATCAAACTGTTAGCAGTGTTATCTTTAAGTGATTGGGTGATAAATTTAATTTTCTTAAAACAGTCGTGAAAATATGTTACTTATAGAATGGGGGTAAAAGATGCTCATTTCCTTAAAAAACGTAGAAGGCATTTATATCTACTTAGAGATGCTTACATTTAAAGATTAAAGCTTTACTTTCAGGCTGCCCTGAGCAAAGGAGCTCTCACCAGGCTGAGCCTGCGTGGCCCTGCCCATGCTCCTACCCTCTGTCCCAGGGCAGGATAAGGATACAGTGAATTGGTAGGGGGAAAAGATGCACATGTTTACAATGTTTACTTAACTCTGGCTTACAGATTCCCAAGCCATGAAAATGGGAGATAATAATGTTATTGAATCAAAAGGTAAGCTGTATTCAGAATTTTATTGTGAAAATGATTACCTCCTTTTTCTTTGTGGTGTCCTAGAAAACAACCCAAGTATAACCTCTGGCAAAGTGGAAGGAAGGCATGGTTGGAAGTGGACTAAAATAGGAGATTAAATCTTTGCCTTTAAGGAACCTAATAATGTGTTTAATACATTGAACTAGAAATTCAGCTGTGTACGTAAGTTGGGATTGGATTAAACCATAACGTTCAGATGAAAGATTTGGAAAGATTTTTGCTAAATACTAGTGTCAGTGATAATTTAGTTGATTAATATAATTGCAGAATTAAAGAAAAAAATCATTTTCTGTATCAGTTTGCTTTCTTTAATTTCAGGACTACTTTATCTAGCCAGTCAGGAACAAATATAAGCCACTTATCATAAGTAGAGCTGGGCAGGAGGTCATGTAAAGTCACCACTACAGGAAAGCAGCTCCCAAGAGCGTGCCCCACTAAAGTCCAGAAAGAACCTGAACAATAAGATGTCTTTAGAATAATAATTTATCTTTGGTGGTCCTAACTGACATGAAAGAATAATGCTTCTTTTTTTAAATACTAAAGTTAGACTTGTTGTTAATCTACTTAATGGTTTTTGTTTTAATTTGATTACCAATTATTATCGTTGTTATTTTCTACTTATTATATACTTACTATGTGTCAAACCTGGGCTCGGCACTTCCCATTTAATATCTCACTTATTCCTTACAACAAACTGTAAGTAGGTTGATCTTTCATTTCATAGATAAGCTTCTCAGAATTTATAGTGACTTGTCCAAGGTCACACAACTAGTCAGCAGCAGAGCTCTGTGTTTAATCCATCTAATACTAGTCTGGTGCCTGCCTCTATGCTTTACCAACTCTGAATTGAAGTATTTTCTTTAATTTTTTTTCTTAAAGCTAGTTTACTTTTTCATACTTAAGACATTTTGGAAAAATGTAACATTCCAGTCATTTGTCTTAAATTACAGTTCTATGTTTTTATTGCAGCATATGTGGGCAGAAACGTAATCCTGACAAGTGGTTGCATCATTGGGGCTTGCTGTAACCTGAATACATTTGAGGTCATCCCTGAGAATACAGTGATCTATGGTGCAGACTGCCTTCGTAGGGTGCAGACTGAGCGACCACAGGTACTGGAACCTGTCTTTAAAAGGAGTTCTTTTTTTTTTTTTTTAATGTTTGACAGAGACATAGCATGAGTAGGGGTGGGGCAGAGAGAGAGGGAGACACAGAATCAGAAGCAGGCTCCAGGCTCTGAGCTGTCAGCACAGAACCTGATGTAGGGCTCGAACCCATGAACTGCAAGAACATGACCTGAGCCAAAGTCGGGTGCTTAACTGACTGAGCCACCCTGGCACCCCAAAAAGGAGTTCTTTCTGAAAGAAACAAAGAAAAACTTAAATACAGAGAACAAACTGGTGGTTGCCACAGGGGAGGTGGAGTGGGGGGGAGAGAGATGGGTGAAACAGATAAAGAGGATTAAGAGGTACATACCTCCAGTTTAAAATAAGTAAGTCACAGAGATGAAACGTACAGCACAGGCAATATAGTCAGTAAATTGTAATAATGTATGGTTGTCATGGTGACTACATTTATCATAATGAGCACCAAGTGATGTATAGAATCATTGAATTGATAAGTTGTACACTTGAAACTAATATAACACTTGAATAATGTTAAATATACTTCAATTAGAAAAAAATTTCTGGCGCTACTAATTTTCAAAAAACTACCACATAATTGTTTTAATGGGACAGCAAGTTTGCCATTTAAAGAGCAGATGAGAGGGACGCCTGCGTGGCTCAGCCAGTTAAGTGTCTGACTCAGGTCATGATCTATGGTTGTGGGGTCGTAGGTCACAAGATCTGCACTGAGCGTGGAGCCTGCTTGGGATTCTCTCTCTCCTTCTCTCTTTCCCCCTCCCTCTCTCTGTCTCAAAATAAATAAATAAACTTAAAAAAATAAAATAAAAAGCAAATGATTAAAATCAGAGAAACATTCCTAAAACTAGAGTTTATTTGCATTGAAATTATTCAGTCTTTAAGTTATTATCAAAAATATGTACAAAGATGACAATGACAAATTGATAATGAACAAAGAAAATCCAGAGATGTTGCTCCTGATCTTAATGTATTTTCACTGAAAATGTATCACCAAACTTTATAAACTGTTGATTCACTCTGAAAATACCAATCCTCAAGGGTAAGGAATGATCCTATCAAATTTATACTGGCCAACCAACTTTGGTCCGTCTGTTAGTTTACCAACATAGCTGACTTGAAAATAAACACAGTTTGTGAATATGCAAGTGTGTTTTGATATTTTCCTGGCTTACGAGAAATTATCTCTGCTACTAAGAACCAAGAATAATTAAGAATATGTATTTAGAGTTTCATATAGGAGATAAAATAGGGCATTTGGGGCTTCCTTTGGACAGAAGACATTCTGATTAAAGTTTTGAACTTCATTGTTTGGCACACAATATATTTCTTTGGTTACCCAGCCTCTTTCCCCTCCTCCAAAAGAAAATATTTTTCGAGACATCTATCATTTTGCATCTGATTCTTAGCCATATTTTATCAGATGTTAAAACTCCAGCTGTCTTTGGGTTATTCTGTTTCTGTAATGTTTGGATTTTATTATTACTATAAGCAAGTATTACTTCTATAGACCAAAAAGGCAGTAAAACAAACCAGGGTTGTTTTCACTATCTTTCTGCATAACAGCAAAAATGATTGAAGAAGGAGAAAAGAAACTGGAGTTGGGTTAAAAGAGATTAGAATTCAGTGAGTAAGAATATCTGAAGTTGAATACAGTTTTCCACATCTCACTCATCACAGGTCCTTATTAAAGAACTTACTGAATCAAAATGTCTCGGGCAAGGACCTAATAATCATCCATATTTGTCACAAGTACCCCTAGTGAGTTTTGCAACGAGGGAAGTTTGGGCGGCGCTGGTGAGTGAAGAGCAGAGAGTACAGCTGTGTACTTGTAGGGCCTGTGGAAAACTGCGTTCCAAGAATTCTACTTAGGTTGTTGTCTATGATTAGAACTTTTTAACTTTTTCAAGGGTAGCGTAAAGCCTGTAACAGCAGGGTTGAAAATTGAGTCATGTATATTTTTAATTTTTTTTTTTAAAGTTTGTTTATTTAGAGAGAGTGTGCGAGAGAGTGTGAGTTGGAGCAGGGGAGGAGCAGAGAGAAAGGGAGAGAGAGAAACCCAAGCAGGCTCCTTGTCGTCAGCACAGAGCCCGACGCGGGGCAGATCGTGACCTGAGCTGAAATCAAGAGTCAGATACCTAGTCACCCAGGTGCCCCTCATGTATATTTTTATATGTAAAATCTTTTGGCTTTTTCGTATTTCCAAACTTAATGTATATTCATTGTAAATTAAACAACCTAAATAAGTAAATAAATAAATAAATAAATAAATAAATAACCAAAAAACCCCACAAAAAACAGGTAAGCAAAAATCAGCCAGTGGAAATCACCTATACTTCCCTGACCCTGAGCTGCCTGGTACTCTTGCTTTCTGCTTGTCAGTTCTTAATTCTCTTATCTTTTTAGCCCCAGACACTACAGCTGGATTTCCTGATGAAAATCTTGCCAAACTACCACCACCTAAAGAAGACTATGAAAGGAAGCTCAACTCCAGTTAAGAACTAAGAACAATATACAACATCAAGATAACAGTTTGTCTTTGACCACTGTCTTTTGAGAGGGCCACAGTGTTTATGCACTCTTAGCAATTCACAGATTAATACATGTTGACTTTATTTTATAAAATTGAGTCAGAGAGGAAAGTAATGGATTTTCATTATAACTGTCCTCTGTAATTACATAAAACGCATTATTTTCCTATATCCTTACTCCTTTTCTGAGAATTTATAGGTTTGGTTTATTTTTCTTTTGTCATATGTTGGCCATGATTTTAGTTGTGTAAAAGATTCCCTGTGATAAGAAAGGGCATATTACTATGTATTTATATTCTAGCATATGTTGTATTCAATAAAAATGCTAGTGACGGGACTTTCAGTGAACATACTTTGATCAAGTTTTCTACTTGTGTTAACTTCGCTAAAATAGCTCTTTTAATTTTTACTGTGTACTAGCCATATTAAAGCTAATGTGTTTATCTTTTCCTTTTGTTACTTTGGAGCGGTTTGATATTTCAGGTGAAATTTCAGCAGCTGTTGAACTAATTTGACTTCATCTTATTTCCAAGAAAAAAAATCTATTTTCATTTTAGTAAAACGGGTATTAGAAAAAGATGTATTCTGTAGCATACAAACAAAATCAGTAAGAATGATCTCTGATGGAAATGACAAGTAAATGGCCCTTGAGTAGTCCTGAGTTTCTGAGGATAATAAAACTATAAAAGAGATTTTGATATATTTATAAATTTATGAAATTACTTTGGCACATTACCAATGACTGTTGATCTTATTATTATTTATCTTAATTACATATTATTTATCTTAATTACATAATGGCAACATATTGAGGATTTTATTGTAATCCTAAGTTTTTTTTTAATAATTCAAATGTGTACATTTGATGGAACATACTTTTTTCTGAGTCAGTAGCTGTTGGTTAATATTAAGACATTAAATACCAAAATATTTCCTATTGAAATTAAATAATTGTATACTAAAAACTATTTTTGAAGTTCTGAAATGGAACAGGTGCAAATTAGCCTTTGTTCCAAATTCAAATGGTTAAATTTTGGTAAGAATACTCATGACTCAAGTTAGAAAACTATACTACCACATATGGTGGATTGAAAAAAGGAAAATAACATCACATAAATGCCCTATTTTTGATAACCGATTTATTCATTTTTCCACCCCTGGTGGTCTCAACTTAGGATTTTGTTGATCATGGAAAATTTTTCTAGATGAAAGATAAAAAATTACAAAACTGCCTTTCATGTAGGCTCTGCCAGTTTTAAAATATTATCTCTGGACAAGCTCTGACATGCTAATAAATGTCCTCTGTTCCTAACTGTACAGGTAATACGTGAAAGCAACAGTGAGACATTTCCCAAGTACTCGGTAATAAGATACCCCCAGAGAGTTAAACTAATTAAGTCAGTTTGTGGGAAGGTAAGCCTCTGTTTCCTAGGTACTCTGTGGTTTTTAAGTGATATTATCTCATTTGAGGAAAGAAAAGATGATCAGAAATGGTCAATTTGTCAAGAGTTTGGAGAAGCAAAATATGACTGTGTACATACAGTGTTCTCCCTGGAAGGGAGGTACTGAACCCAAGACATGTGAGCAGTTTAGTGACCGGAAGTGTTCTCTTGTTCAGCTAGTATCAGTTTATCAAGACTTGCCATGGCTTGAGAAGAACATACCTGAGACTCACAGCTTTGGGCTCTAATTACAAGCTTAACTGAACCATCTTCCGATTTGCTAATATCGCCTCCAAGCTATCATTCAAGAAAGGGAAGAACTCTGGCTCAGAGCACCAGAATTCCATTCAACACATAGCAAATTTTTTTTTTTAAGTTTATTTATTTTGAGAGAGAGAGTGCACACACAAATGGGGGAGGAGTAGAGAGAGAGGAAAAGAGAGAATCCCAAGCAGGCTCTGCACTGTCAGCAAAGAGCCCGAGGTGGAGCTCCAATTCATGAACTATGAGATTATGACCTGAGCTGAAATCGCGTCGGATGCTTAACTGAGCCATCCAGGCACCCCTACACGTGGCAAATTTAGAGAAGCTTTCTGATTTATACATTAGTCTCATGTGAATTTAATTTGTATAGTTCGGCCCCCAAGTCTGTCCATTTAGTCTATGAATTCTGAATATTCTGATAAAACACAGTTTCTGATCCTTTAGGACAAAGAACCAAAGCCTGGACAATGTATTATGAAACTTCGCTCTTTGGGGCTTCTCCATAGCCAGGTTGCCACTTTCTCTAATAGTCTCTCTCACTGAGACTGCACTCCAGCTTCATCACAGACATTCTAGGCAATTATGCTAATGGTGGGACAAACCCTGACAAGCTTGTGACAAAAATGGTAGCAATTGGGCAGGGAGAAGAAAGAAACCATCTTATCACAGCATCTTACTGCAATGTGGTGATAGCTGTTGGGTCAGGATGATAGATTTTCACCAGTTGGATAGTATCAGGTCCAGAAAGGGTACTCTACACTGCTGTCTTACTCATCCATGAATACACACTATAATACTTACGCTATGTAGAAGGTTACCTTGAGATGTAGCAACTAGATCCAGTGAACATATCTTACATGCTTTCTGCAGGTCAAATCTAGGAGTACTTCAACTGGTGCTTCTGGCTCAGTGTGCCTCATGATGTTTCTCAGCCAGTCAGTCAGACCTGCAGTCATCTGAAGACTTGACGGGCTGGATGGTCCACTTACAAGATGGAGCACGAGAGCCTTGCCATAGGGCTGGTGGGTATCCACGAAATGGCAGCCAGTTTCCCTCAGCTTCCTTCAGATCCATGTGAGGAAGGACCTTGTCTCTAGAGTTGCATACCATCACTTCTACTTAGAAGCAAGTCATTAAGTCCGTCTCTCACTCAATGGAGAGAGGATTAAGATCCAACTTTTCAAGGGAGGAGCATCCAAGAATTCACGTTCATATTCTAAAACCATACACACATCCCTTTATACCTGGGTTCCTTACTAGTGTGCAGTCAGCATCTCAAGGCTCTCCACATCAGGGAAGATGGGTTCAGGAAGAACTCTTTCTTAATGGGCATGCCACATGACCTCATCAGAGGTCTTCAGCTTATAAACTTCTCTAAACATCATCTTCTTAGAAATTTAGATTACTCATCCCTAAATATATATTTCATTAACCATAAGTTTAACTTCTCTAGGCCTAGTAGAAATTATTATTAATAAAAATCCTGAAGGGTAAGAATGTTGAGTAAGAGAATGAAAACAATACAAAAACTCTTCTTCCTCCTCCCTCTCGTCCCCCTCCTCCTCTTCTTCTTTTAAATTTAAGTAACCTCTCCACCCAATGTGGGGCTCAAACTCATGTCCCCATGATCAAGAGTCACATGTTATACACACACTCTACCAACTAAGCCAGCCAGGCATCCTTACAAAAACTATTCTTAACATATACTTAGGCATTAACTTATTAAATGTGTATACAACCGACTATGTGACAGGCACTGTTAAAAGCAGTTTACACTTAACTGGTTAGTTATACACTAAGTCATTTAATTCTCTTGACAATCAGGTGATATTATCACTGTTTTACAGATGTGGAAGTTGAAGCACAGACAGGCTAAGTAACTGTCCAAGGTCACTGAGTAAATGGCATTTGGCTCCAGAGTTCATGATCTTTTTTTTTTTTTAATTTATTTTTTTAACGTTTATTTATTTTTGAGACAGAGAGAGAGAATGAATGGGGGAGGGGCAGAGAGAGAGGGAGACACAGAATCGGAAGCAGGCTCCAGGCTCTAAGCTGTCAGCCCAGAGTCCAACGCAAGGCTCGAACTCATGGACCGCGAGATCATGACCTGAGCTGAAGTCGGACGCTTAACCGACT